GAGAGTTATTGTATGTTATATTTTCTGTTGAACAAACATTTATTTTTGTTCCCTAGTTCCCCTAAGGCAAGAGCATAATAGGGACCAAACCACCTCACAGAGTTCAATGCAGCTAGATGTGCCGTCACACCGCCCAGGACTGAAGGACCATCAGGACTCTCACACACAGAGGTCTCCTGCAGGTTACTCAAACTCACCCCCGTTCCATCCAGGAGACCCTCACATATCGAACAGAGACAGACCGATGTACCAGGAGGAGTACTCTCTCAGACATGGCCGCATGGACGAGGAGCTGCAGAGGGCAGATTACAGGCAAAGTGAAATGCACAGACGAGAGTATCTGGACCCTGACTTTTGTGCAGAGTATGAAAATACTTATGTTGAAGATCCACCAAGAAGAGGCGCACCTGAGCCCGTTGGTGGTTTAAGGTATGATTCAATGGAGCAGATGCCCCATCACCAGAATGTAGAGTATTACGCAGAAGAGCCCCCTCCTTACAGAAGAAATCCCCAAGAAAAAGATCAACTGAAGGAGTTCTACCCTGAAGAAGTCAGGCGTAGCCAAGGTCATGCCGAGTACCAACCCTTGCAGCAGGTGTACCAAGAAGGCCATGAACAGCGAGGGTCTCTAGAAAGGGAATCTTGTGGAAATAACGGTATGAATAGAGCAGGCAGGGAAGGATCCTGGGAACCAGAGACCAAGAGGAGAGTCCAACCCACACCTATGGAGAGTGGCCAGTCGCATGACCATTTGTTTAACACAATCATAGATTATTGTCATGAAATGGGAGAACCACATCAAGTGCAGGCCGGAGGGCACCGCAGAACCGGACCTGATACCTCCCAGAGGGGAGACGAAGCTGCCGTAGCCTTTTCTGAAATCCCTGAGCCGTTCAAGCGTTTCCTGGCGGGGGCGGCTAATGATGAGGGCCACAATAGAAGAAAAAGAAAGAGTCGCTTCACTGATGCCACTGCCGAGGAGTTGGAAACGACAAATGAGATGTGAGTAATAATGAACCTGGTTTAGATTTCTATCCCTGTTACTGGTTGGCTGATATCTTTTAAAAATGTTGAAATTAAATTATTCTACTGAATGCTTTCGGTTTTAATCTTCCTAATTTAACTGTGCTTTCTGAATTAAGGTTCAACGATGAGTATAGACCTCCAAATCCAAAGTTTGGTGGTCATCCTAGACATGTTAGACCGGAAATCCATCAACATCCTGACAACAACATCGAATCACAGGTGGTTGATTAGAAAGTTACATATTTTTCAAGTAATCTTCTAATATGTAATTCATGATGAAATGCAAAATCGAAATCAACATTTGAATAATTTAGTGGGCTACACTAATATTAAAAGTATTATCCTTTTTGTAAAGTTAGATTCCAGTTGTGGCTGTGTAGGATTGATTTTGATTTGTGTGATCCAAACATTTCCAATAAGTCAAGAGCATAAAGAGGTATTACTATTTAAGTGACGTCAAACCTATTGTTTTTTTTAGAGCCTACAATATACTGAAGGCTATCAAAGAGGTGGCCCAGAGTCAAGCAATGTCTTTGATATGATGGTAAGATTGCACATTTTTGTATTTATAACACATGAAGCAGAAATGTGTTAGTTGTGTAGCCTTTCTTTGCAAGGGCATCATAACTGTGTCTTTTCCCCTTTTCAACAGAAAAACATTGAAATTGAAAATGCTGAAGAGGCTCACTTCCTGAAAAACAAACTCTGCGACCTTCTGAAAGACTTCAAGACCAAAAAATCTGCGAAAGTTGTGGTATGTGTCACCCTGCATAGGGTCAGTCTTTCTGCCTGAACATGTCGTTTTATTCTCTGCCTCTTTGCAAAGCAGAATCAATTAATTAATAAGGAAACATGTTTTGGTTGCTATAGCAAAATAGCCAAGGCAGAGGATCCATTTCCCAAGACTACAACAGCCTTAGCCCAGGCCGAGAGTTGTCTCCAAGACACCAGTATGAGACTACCTTCAGAGAAGATTCAGACCGGAGGCGACCAGACGACCTCTTCTTTCAAGAAGATCACAGAGGAAGAGACTGGCAGCAGCATGAGCTTATCCCTGACGTGCGGACTCAAGAATACCACCATCCTGTACGCGGGGAACCGAGGCGGTCAAACAGAAGCCGCTATGAAGGTACAGTTTATAATATGTGTTTTATATACCGTATATAATAAAGGATTTTCTATTCACTGAATCATGCATTTGGGGTAAGTTAACACTCATCATTTGGACAATTTATTCTATATTGAGAATGATCTCATGTCCTGTTTTCCCTTTGCACTTCATTTTTCATATTTTTTGTCTTTCAGAGGTCTTTGGATTGCCGGGGCAATCTCGGACACTTCATGCTAACCATCCAGATGAGCCAGCACGCTATCCTGAAAGGTTTCAAGAACCCATGAACCCTCATGATTACTTACCTGCCGGCCAGAAGTTTTTGGACCCCTACAACTCTGCTCCTCCGCTCCACATGGAGCGAGAACCTAGGATGGAAAGGGGCCCTCGGTACTCCAACAGCCTAGACAAAATCACCTCTACCCTTCTGGAACTGGTGGCAAGGAAATAAATTCCATAAACATTGTGTAAACTAAACATCCATTTGTTCATTGGGATACTTTGATTTGAAAACATGTTCTGATGTTAAATGTCTTTCTTGCATTGTTTTTTTTTTTACTTATTGAGGTATTCTGCTCTTTTAAAAGTCTGAATGTTAACACATTAAAACATTTGTCTACGGCGGCTGATATGTCTTTCAATTCTTAATGTTAAGTAACATTTAAGAATATTAAAGTAGTAGGCCTATGTGATAACAGTAACATACTTAAACTGTGCAGCATATGTATTTAGATTTAAATTAATGAACATTACTGATGTTTTGGAACTGTTTTCTGCAGACATTTCGTTATAATGTGGTACAGTCCAAGAGTTTATTGAAAAATAAAAACATGAAATCAGTCTCATCATTCATCTCATCCTATGTTTTATTAGCGGCAGTGGCATTGCATTGAGATATTTTACTACAATTGGACATTGCTGTGTGTTTTAGTCATTGTATTTTTACCAGTGCAATCATGCTTCACAATGACTAATAATAACACTTTGTCCTTAACATATTAATCTCTCAATTTAGTGAATTTTATAAAAAGAGCCTCCTCTCCTGCTGTTGCTCGGATAACGTAACGACTACGTCATCACGTTTGTGCATATAAGTATTTCCGGTTCGAGCGGCAGCCATCTTGTTTCCTCTTGCTAGCTAAATAAAATAAATAATACGCTGAGCCGGACTTCACTTCGAAGCCGTTAAACAAAGTGAGTAAGAAACTAAAAGTCGTTTGTGTGGGTAACGTCTACGAGAAAGTAGCATTTGCTGTGTGGAAGTATGAGCAATTACATCGCCTATTTTCATTTGCTGTTCTTGACCAATAGACGATTGTTTTGGAAGATGAACATAGGCGCCATTTCCCTCCCCGCTCTCTGAGGCGCTTATTGGTGGCCCGCTGAAGGGATCACGGGCGGTCAAGAAACTGGTGTTCCTTGTCCACCATGTTGGCTCTAGCCGTAATGATTGCCAGACTGCCTGGCCATTTCTACTGGAGCCCGAATGGCGTCAGTTGCAGAACGAAGTTAGCCCTAAAAACCTTGATTGGTGGAATCTAGTCCGAGGTTTGATTGGTCTGAAGGACAGATCCAAACGTAGTCTTTATTGGTTAGACTGCTTCTTCCTAGCTCGGGAAAGCTTTGCAAAGTTTCACTTGAAGGCAGGCAGGACACGTTGTTCAGTGGTGATTAAATGATAAACACTGCGGATTTTCGTTTGTGCTTTTCAACGGTCTCCAGTGGGCATCTCCAACATGCTAACATTTACTCCACTTACGTTAGCACGGTCAACAGTATCATAACGTTAGCTTGTCATGCTAATTGTGGTTTGAAGCCGTAATGACACCAATAAGAACTACTGTGTTTTTAAAATTCTAGTTTATATTGGCAACATTACTTTCACATTGAATTAAATTATGTATTCCGTCGGCTAACGTTAACCATGATGTGACATTGGTTTATCCTGCTAGCTGCTTTGTTCTTTCTACCTGGTTTATGCTGTATCGACCTAGTTAAAGTCCAACATCGTGTTAAAGACTAACGCGTTTAAGAGCAAAGTTGCCCTACTGCCAGTGTAAATGCATTTGCTCTTTATATTAAATGTGTCTTTGTTTCCTTGCGGAGGTCACTCTTGAATCAATTTAATGCACATCATTTTTATTGAATGTACGCAATATCAGTAATAGGCTTAAATGCATCAAATAAATTGTATCATTTTATATTTAATATAAATATGTATAAAAAGAACAATCTCTGCTATATCCCTGCTGCAAGGTGATATATCCATTAACGGCAGGGGAGACGAATACTGTGTATAGTTCACAATCTTTCAACCTTGTTAAGCTATAAGAGGTATATTACATGTTTTATTTCGTTGTTACCTTTTAATCTAGCAGAGTGTAATTACAATGACTCTATGAAGGCTGTGCTACTTTAGCAAAGGTACTCTGACTAACATATACAAACAAGTCGTTGACCATTTATTTATGCAGGTGTGTGCATTAGCTTTTTTCACTTTTTGTGGGTGAATGCATAAATTGGCCCGGCTACCATGAGGGTGCTGTGTGTTTATGAAACCCATAGTGTGGCTGGTGTATGTTGTATCTCTAAACAGCATCAGTGAGAGCAAACATGTCCCTGATATGGGCAGCATAGGTCACGGGAAGGTCTCATTTGTATGGTGACCTTGCCAGGTGTCGTTACTGAGGCATTTTGGCTAGCCAGAATACATGTAAGAAGAACATTGCTGCAGAGATTAATTTGTGCAGCTTCACTCTAATCATTAACTGGGTAGATGTAGTACCTGCTCTAGTCCCCATGCTCCTCACTAAAATAGAAAAGGGAACATTTAGCTTTGTTTCTCTTGAGTCTCTGTCTCTTTCTACCCCTCCCATCCTGTAAAAACTCTCCTCTCTGTCCTTCTCCATCCTTCCGGTTCCCCTCCCCCTCTAAGTTTTTAATTGATGGGGCAGGTTTGCTCTCCTTCACTCACTACAGTCGGGATTTGCAGAAATATGCAGCCCTAAACCTTCAGGTCAAACTGCCGTCCTTTGAACAAGTATCAGTTAAAGGCAATTCTGAATCAAATGTAATCACCATCACAATTGTTGTCCCTTCTTATAACACTTTATTGTCCAAGCTGTACATGTCTTCATCAGTTTGCTTATTATATTTGAATGACTAATTCAGTCAATGGGTTATTAACACAATGTGTGGTGCACGTGAGCAGTGTCATTCTATGGTTGCTCTGAAGGGAAGGTTACTGTGTATAAAGTATGCCCATCAAACCATTGGTGAGCCAACAAGAAGGGCATTGTATGACATTGCTGACGTCGTTATTTGATGACGTTTTAACCGTGGAAGTTGCTGTGAGCGTAGTTTTTTTGGATCAAGACAACAATGTCTTTGTTTACACACTTTCACCCATATCTCTTATTTCTTGTTTATCCACAAATACGACAAGAGTTGAATGCATTTCCCCCCTTTTCCACGACTGTTAACCAGTCAGAGGATTCTTCTTCATTTTGTACAAAGGCTGTTCAATGAAATTTGCCTATATTCCTTTTAGTTAACATTTGATTGACACCATAAATAAGGGTTCTTTGGATTAATGTTGTTGCGGTATATTGCATAACTATTTGCTCCCATGAAATTGTTAAATAAACCCATTTGATTCATATTCTAATTGAATGTATACTTTTTTCCTCTGCTAGCATAACACTAACAGTGTAATCAATCTTGTTATAACAAGTAGGCTGGTTAGAGGCTAGATATTTGCGGTTTGTCCCTGTGAGTGTGGGCAAGGATGAATGAGAAAGCAAGGGCAAAGTGTGTGTGTGTGTGCGGACGTGCATGTACCTGTGCACACGTATGAGACAGCGAGTCTGCCTATTATGCTTTTGTACTTTAAATCATGTGGATGCAACATGCGGCATCCATTCTGCCACTTGTTTCAGCCAGTGAGAGCCAGCGTGGCTGCCTGCATCACGGTGCTGTCAGCCTGTAGATGCAGAGAGGAGGCGGGGCAGAGAGAGACATTTAGTTTGACATTGTAAATAAGCAGAGAGCAGTTGTCAGAGAGCAGCCCGTTGAACCTTTCTCATCCGTCAAGCAGCAGGGGAGGCAGGGACCGCCCGAGGACAAACAATGCAGAGGCAAGCCACCACTAGCACACCCTCACACACTCCCTGTAGAGCTTTCCACAACTTTATTTACTCTTTTTCAACAATTCTCTCTACTCTTGCTTCCTCTTTTCCTTCCCTGACCCCTATCCTGCAGCTCAAGGTAACTTAGAGCAGGAAGTTGGTGTCGGTAGAAGGGGGTTGGGCTGAGGAAAGAGGAGGAGCAGGGGATGTGTCACAGCTGACGGGTGTGTGCAGTATCCAATAGCATAAGAGGACCTTATCTTCTCATTGGTTGTGAGTGTCAGAGCGAGGCGGGAGCAGGGATCCAGGCGGGGTTTGAGTATCATGTAGCCTGCTAGATTGATTACTCTTGAATGTTAAAGGGGAAGGAGGCTAGAGATTTTTGTCTGATAGTCAGGAGTGCCGCTGTACTGTTTGCCTGCCGCTGCGCTGACTTTCTATTCCCTCTCGCTCTCCTCTCTGCGCCGGGCCAGGGGTCAGCTCAAAGACAAACGCACGGGTCACTGGTTAGGGAGAGGGGTGAGAGAGTTAAAAAGACAGAAGGTCAGTGAGTTTAGGGGACTTGGTCAGAATAAACAGGAGAGACGGGGTTGTATGTTTAGGCAGGAGGAGTATGTTGGGGGGGGCTGCTGAAGGAGACGGGGCAATGTGTAAAGGGAGAGTGGAAGAGAGAAGGGGGAGGGGTAGAAGAAGGGGGGCTTGCTCTTCCCGGGCTGAGAGCTTTTTTAGAGCCGTCCAGTGGAGCCAGAGTGCCTTTTTGTTTGTTGATACGATCAGAGGACTGGAGGAAGTGAAGGCGCTTGAGAGAGTTTTTCTGTCAATCTCTGTGCCTCTTCTTCCTGCTGCTGCTGCTGCTGCCGCTGCTCTCAAGGAGATTTGAACAGGGCTATCTGTTTCCCTCTATTCTGCTCCAGCAGGGCACACCATTCACCATGAAGGGCACAGGGGTAAGTCAGACCGCCTCAAACATGCACAAAGAGAGAAGAACTGTCAAGTTGGTTAGGCTTTGAGTTTCTGAATAAATTGTTTACTTTCTCTCTCCGTCCATCATGCTCTGCAGTGATGAGACAGTGTCTGTCCTTTAAAGCCATCCTCAACCCCCCCTCCCTCTCCTGCCCTGTAGTACTCTCCTTGGGAGAGTGTGTGTGTGTGTGTGTGTGTGTGTGTGTGTGTGTGTGTGTGTGTGTGTGTGTGTGTGTGTGTGTGTGTGTGTGTGTGTGTGTGTGTGTGTGTGTGTGTGTCACATGTCCTTCAGATGTCACATCAGTACATAAATGATGCTTTTTGTCAGAGTGGACTTTACAGGAACAAAAAAACGTGTTTTCTTTTTAATATAGTAACAATTCAGTCAATCTTTTGGCTTTCACTAGTTTTGACTTTGGACCACCATGCTGCTTACGCACGTCAACACTTACCCACTGTTATCGACTGCATGTAAGTGCATAGCTGCTTGGATGTTCTTCACTTTAATGTCCTGGGGGCCGTAGTGTCTCCCGGTGCTGTTCGAAATCCCATTTTTTTTTTTCCCTTCCCAGACGTCCTTGTTTACACACAAGCGCCAGACTGTGACGCAGAACTGAAAGGCAAAGATGGTATCCATGTTGAAATTAGATTTTTTTTAGTTTATACTGAGGACTTTGAGAGCATATCTCTCAGTGTTGTTGTTGCTGTTGGTGTCATGGGTCCCCAGGGGTTGAGGTGCAGCTGGTCGCAGTGACCTCAGGACCCCTTAGGCCCCCTCCCGATAGTGCCAGACGCCCAGATGGGACAGACTGTTGGCCTGTCAGCTTCATGGACAGAGGAGGCTAATAGTTTGATCTGATCTGTTCTGATGGAATCTTTAGAGGGGGCCTCATCTCTCTCTTGCCTCTGACTGCCTTGCTCTTCCCTCTCTCTCCCTAATTGAAAGTTTCCATTGGTGCCTTTGACAAAACAATGTCCCGATGGGGAAAGAGAGAGAGTGCAAGAGATCGAGAGAGGAAAACTAAAAATAACTCTAAAGTTAAAGCCCTTACTGCCAAATCCCAGCGTTGGCTGCTGTCTGCATGAGATTTCAAATATAATTTCTGCCCCATACTGTACTGGCTCAGGGGCTCAAGGAAAAAGTAAACCCAAACCACCCAGGCATAGCTAGGCCTTCAGCTTATCACTAAGGTGACCACCACTGCTGTGCATTCACTCTTTTGCCCTTGCCCCGTACCCTCCCCCCCTTTTTTTACATGTGTACACTGTCACTAAAGACAGCGTGCGCAGGGGGAGTCCAGCGTGTAACACGCAGGTAGCTTTAGCCCTGCCTACTTTGACGGCAGAGACTGGGCCTTGCTTTGGATGAAGGTCACAGGAATGTGAGCTAGGCTCCTGCAGTCTCTCTGTCAGCAATGAGAAGGAAATATGTAGAAGGAGATGAGACGAAGCGGAACCCAAAGGCAGATACAGAACATCGATAACATGTACAGTAAGAGTTGTTTTTATTAAGATTCCTTGAAAGTACACAGCCCGAACCACTGGGGTCACCTAAGTGCTGCAGTGAAAGTTGAAAAATCTGTCCTTTCCTATCCTCCCCCTCTCCCTCCCCTTCTCTTGTTCATCTATCTCTCTCTCTCCCTCTCTCTCCCTCCCTCTCTGGTTTCTCTCTCTCCTCTGTTGAATGACCTTGGGAGATCAGTGACTAGCACTTCCTGGAGTTGGCTTGAAGCAGAACCAAGGGCAAAGTTTGCAGGGCTGTTTTGTTGGCTGGCTCCATCCAACCCTGCACAAAATGATGTTACACCGCAGGTCACAGCGTGCACGTCCGTCATTATATCCCTGCGTCTGTTGTTTTTTAATCACAACACATTTGCACAAACATCTGTGAAATAGTTGTGCGTGTCCCAGTAGTTAATCTGTAATTCCTGCCTGGGAACTTCTTGTTTTTTTAGTTTTGCCTGAGTAGATCATTTACCCTGCATGCTGTAACTGTGCCAGTTTGTTTCTGTTCTGTTATATGTGATTGGGTTTATCAAGTTGAACGCTGTGATAGTTCAAGATTTGTAAATACAAGGCCCCTTTGATATATTGCCGTCATTTAAAATGAACGTTTCAGTATAAGAATTATTCCCTTGGCTGTATTTATTCCATCTATTCAGGGAGAGTAAATCATAATAAAACTGACATGTTAAACATTAGGTTAAGATTCTCAGTGGCCCTATTAAATACTAATATATATATATATCAAATGTTGCTTTGCATTTATTTGTTCTGCTTAGGGGTCCAGTTAAAACAGAACAGACTTTGACCTTTAGTGACCTTCCTGCAGAACGGCCCATTCTGCATTATTTACAGTTTCACAAAGTGGAAAATGGACCTCTAGCTAGATATGTCAGCAGATTGAAGGCGGTAATAAATAGATATTCAGTTACAACATTGACTGATGTTCAAAAACTCACTTATTGCAGATAATCAGACTTGCCTCACAAAGTAATTTGGCATATGCTTCTTTATTTCTGTGTGGGTTAGATCATCTCACTGCACATACGTTTCAATAAGAAGTGTCAGTTCTGCCCCGGGAACATTTGGGATGAGATGAGCTCTTTTTAAGCCCAATGGCAATGTGACTGTGATACACCTCAGGGAAACGTTCAAAGCAGAGCCTCAAATAGGCCTTCAGTTTGTCCGACACTGCACTCAACTACACTCAGCACATTTTAAATCTCAATGTATACCATCAGGTCATTCAGGGGACATTTAGATTTCCCCTTAAGGCCACTTTATCATCTTGCTGAACTCTACTGGCTTATTAACAACACTTACTTTATTTGTATTGATGCCTGAGTTTGATGCTGCAAATCGTTTCTTGAGGCAAAAGTGATATTACAGTGATGTTTCTTGCTAGTCTCCTGCCTACACTGCTATCAAGTTTATTTGGACAGGAATTGAAGTCTCATGTAAAGTGGTGTGATGTCAGAGTCTGAGCGAGTGGCTGGCGCTGCTGTGAGTGGCCACTCGATGTGACGCTCGAGGAGGGAGGGATGAGACGGAGAGGTGCAGGACTGGGCTGGCAGGGCAACATTAGCGCTGATTCAGCTGGAGCAGCATTGACTTTCCCAGAGTAGTCGCAAAGAAGAGGGATCAGGTGAAAGTAAGTGAGACAGAGCCAGGGAGAAATGCACACCCACGAGTGACAGAGAGAGATGGGAAGTGCCTGGGAAGAGACAGACAGACAGAGAGATGTAGAGCTGCTGAAGGAGGAAGAGCAAGTTGCTGTGGTGGACAATGTCGACAAAAGCACTGACATCACATTTGTCCTCAAAGACAAACGCACACAGCAGAGTTGGTAGGAAACCCAACACCGCCATCTCTCTGTCTCGATGACCTGATGAAGGACAACAGCCGCAGGGAAGAGGAGAGCAGAGATGCACAGCGCAAAAAGACACAATGTACCCTAATGTAGCATAGAGAGGCAGCTTAGAACAACACAGCAGAGATGAGCTTGGTTCAGCGGGTTCATTACAACAGTGTTATCCGCAATAACAAGCTGACATCAATGTATAAAACGTTGAAGACACTTTATTTAGGGCGACCTAGAACCATGATTATTGAGGAGTGAACTGAACTCACAAGCCTTACAAACATGTAAAGTACAGATTGGCATGAAGGGAGTACTTCAAGCCTTACTGTAGATTAGAGACCTGAAATACAGTAGCAAGGACCACTTATCATTGCAGAAAAAAGCACAATCTTGACACTGGCTTCCGCTAATTGTCTGCATCAACCTCTCGACTTTTTACAACTTACATAACGTTGACATTTATTAGCTTTTGGGGAGTTTCAAAATGGATTGCAGCTGATAGCCCCACTGAGAGTGTTTGTTCGATCAGACTAGCCCACAGAAGACCATAGAAGGTGTTGCAGAAGTCAGCAGGAGACATTATGTCAGCGGACCGGGCTCCCACGCAAACTTTCCATTGATGCAAAGCTTTGGAAAATATGGTAATATTAGTGAACTGCGGGTAGTGCACACTGAATAGTTGCAGGAGAAATGTTCAATGTTTCAACTCCACTCTTCTTACTCGCATGCTTTTGGGTTTCTTTTTTCCGCTCTTGTGCTTCAGCCTGACTCTAGTCACACTTGCTTTCTCATATTGACATTTTGACTTCCCCTGCCCCCACTCCCCCTGTTGCTGTGCTTAGTGCGTGCGTGTATTTAGATTGAAGGTCACAAGGTCAAAGAGAGGGGGTTGGGTTGTATGTGTGATTTAATTTAATAAAAGCTTTCTCCCCCTCTCTCCCCGTAAAGCCAGATGTTTAAGAGAAGTGTGATGTGTGATGGCCTACATGTTTTTACTTTAATCTATTGAATAATTTCCTATTTGAAATATTCTTTTATTTCCTCTGGGCCCCTGCATTATCATGGTAATTAGCCTTATGGTTTTCTGTAGTGCCTAATTATTGTTTCTTATCAGGCTGCAAGTGGCAGAGCACCACACAAGCTGGCAGACAGAACACAGACACGCAAGGTTGTCTTGTTCAAACTTATCACAAGATGGAGTGCTGATAAGGGACGGGTAGTCAAATGCTGTTTGCAGCTCTTATTTTTTCCCCCGTATTTGCATAGTCACGATGCTGCATTGAAACACAGAGGCCTTGAAAAGAACTGGCACATGTCACTTTATGCATCAGGCAGAGGAAGGAAAACTACAATTCCCATCAGTCATTTTGGCCCCATGGAATGCTGGGATTGTTCTAGTGACTGCAGGATTTCAATCAACCTTCAAACGCAACTGGACACTGGAGCGTCAGACAGAGAAGGGGAGACACTGTCAAGGTCAATCACTAGCCTGGCATGCAATGGCTACAAGCCGCCTGATTGATTTATATAAAACCCCCCCTCCCTCCCCCCGCTGCCATTCTGTCTCATTGATTTAGGCTACTCTCTGTCCAAAACTGAATGACAGGACAGGATGCAGCAGTGCTTCTCCTGTATTATTCAGTATTTCCCACAACTGCTGCACATGAAACGCTGTGACATTTTTATCTCATGGCAAAAATAATTGCGATTCACCATATTATCCCGATTAACATTCAGATATGCTTAAAACCCTCCAACTGGCACTGAAACCCTTTGTCCTACATTCTGGTATGAAACAAGGCATCCTAAATGGGACACATCGTTTACAGTGAACACCCTTTAAGTGGAAAAAATATCTTCAATAAAGTAATCACATGCACCACATGCATCCATGCCCTCATACATACAAGGAAAACATTATCCTTCTCAACTATGATAGCTTTTTCAAATCACTTGCAAGAATAGTTATGATTGTCCTGAAATTGAGATACACTACGAACTTCATCAACTTATTGGGAGTGTTTTGTGATGACATTGTACTTCTTCCTTTTACTTCTACCCACAACTGTCAGAGAAACAAAACAAATCAAGGATTCTCATTAAACGATTCCTTTTTTAGTGATTTTATCGGTGTAAAATATTTACAACTGCACTTAAAACACATGAAGAGAGGAGCTGGCGTGGACCCAGAGTCCAAACAATCCCCTACCACAGCGCCGCTGTAACAGGGAGACACTAGATGGAGTGCTTGAAAAGCTGTCTTTTGTTTTGTATTGGTCTGTCAGCTGGACCAGAGCTGCAGCCATTCATGCTTGTGGGCCCAGAGTGAGAAAAGAAGGAGAAGATAAAGAGGAGACCCCCCCCTTCTCCTAACTGTGTTTTTCTTTGTTCTGTCATGTCTTTCTCTTCCCCTCTTCACCGTCTCTCTCTTTCTGTCCTGTTTGACCCATATATCTGGTTTGCACAGCAGTCTGACTGCGGCCCGTTCGTCTCTTACCTCCCCCTGTTAAAGCCTTTGGCACTTTGTCTTAGTGCTGGATTAATACTGAACTGGACAAGGCACTACCCCTCCCTCAGCAACACACACAAACACACCCCGTCTCTCTTGAGTAGCTCCACACACTCATCTCTTGTTCGGTCCCCCCTGTGTTTTTTTTCCTTCTCCCTTCTGGCGAATCTTCTCACCGAGGGAGGGAGAAAAGGGAGAGTGAAAGAGTGCGATCCAGACACTCCAAGCTCTGCATGCTCAGACAGGCCGGCCAATATCCCTCCAGCAGATTCCTGGCATGCCATAGTAACCGGCTGGATCCTCTTTCCAACCGTCCGACCCCTTGTAGAAGCACTGGCTTTTACAGTATGTCTACACGCTTGTGTGTAACAGTTGGTCTATTTCACATTACAACTCATGGTTAGTATTTGTGAGCAACATGTGCCTGTGCAGGAGATTGTTTCACTATGAGACACACACTTCTGCGTCTCCTGGGTGTTTGGCTTCAGCATTGTCCTCAGTGTGTGGGGTCACCAGCAGTGTTTGACTCGCACATGACATGCTTTGTTTGTAGAGGAGCTGCAGCTATGTGCGGAAGGTGAGCCATTCATAATCAGGGATTGTGCAGCCAGCTGGGTGATGGGTTCTTTGGCATGTCAACATCCCGCTGCAGGACAAGAATAGAAGTCCGTTGGTGCTCTAATTTAGATTTCACTGTATTATAATTATAGGCCATGAGAGGATATGTGATTCTTCTGACACATGGGGAGAGCTCAGGGCAGCACAGGCCTGGACTCACACTGTGATTTGGCGGCTAGTGTCCTTAGCTAACTACCCGGCTTTAGTGTCTAAATCACATTTTGTCTTTGTTTTTGCGTTTTAACTAATAAAGCTGAAGCGATTTGTTGACTGACAAAATATATTATTGGCTGCTATTTTGATAATTGATGAACCACTAGAGTAACATTTTATGATATGTGACACCACATGTCATGACATTTCTGACATTTTTCGAACCAAGCGATTAATCGTTTCATTGCTAATTAAAAACCTTAATGATTAACCATTTTGTCTCCACCTTTCTAATCCCCTGTTATTCTTTGAATCAGCAGATTAGAAGATGTCCGCAGATGCGTTCGGAGCCGGAGGCAGCGATGCCCAGCAAACCCTGCAGTCCTTCTGGCCTCGTGTCATGGAGGAGATCAGGAACCTGACTGTGGTACGCTGTCCATTGAAACAAGCAGTCACACATACACGCTAAATCAACACTAAGATGCGATGGTTTTGTATGCTGTCAAACATACTCATGCAAAGACTAAAGCACAACACCCTAGTGCTCTATTCTGTGTCTTCAACTGACCACCGATTAATTTTTTTCCAGAAGGATTTCCGTGTGCAGGAGTTGCCACTGGCCCGGATAAAAAAAATCATGAAGCTGGATGAAGACGTCAAGGTAAAAGGACAGCCTAAATAATTTACAATTTTGAGGAAATGATTGTTATTGAGTATAATTATTTTCATGCCTTAAAAGCCTGACTGATAATGTTCTCTAACTTGGTGTCTGTATTCTTTCAGTTACTTGTTTTGTGGCCTGTTGTGCTCAGACCATCAGCGAGCGCAAAGTGAAGACTGCTGCAGAGGCTGCTGCTCTGGCAGATGATTATGTGCTAACGCACAGGGGCGGTCCTGTTTTCAGGAGCCAGGGTGAAGCTGGTATGTATGGTGCAGCAGGGAGATGGGAAGAGAAAGCTAATCCGCACTGGGGTAAACCTGAGCGTGGGATGCGAGGTCAGCCACAGGGTGATTCGGAAATCTGTCATTTCTGCAGGGAGAGAGGGCACTGGAAGGCTGACTGTCCAAAAGCTAAGGCTAGCAGGGGGAACTGTGTAGGCCAGTTTCACTCTGCTGCTTGTGCTGTGTCTGTGGTACTCTTACCTGTCATCTCTCCCTGTCAGCAGGTTAATGAGCCATGCGGGTTGAAGGAACCGGATTTCTCTGCGTTTATGTCAAACGGATACGTGTCATTGGTGAGAAGTGATATCAGCGTGCCGGTAAAGATTTTGAGAGACACTGCATCGTATGACTCATACATTCTGAGCTCTGTGTTACCGTTTTCTGACAAATCTGGAACTGGGGATTTTGTCCGGATGCGAGGTATGGGAATGAATGTTGTGCCTGTTCCTCTGCATTCTGTTGTGCTTAACTCTGGTCTGGTGCAGGGTGAGGTCGCCATGGGGGTCCGTCCTGTAATGCCGATTGGTGGTGTGGATGTTATCCTGGGTAACGGCCTGGCTGGCAGCCGTGTGTGGGCTGAGGGTCCACCGCCTACCATGCAGTCATCTTCACCCACTGTGACTGTTAACGCAGAGCAGAGTGTTAAGTGCTCTCCTGCAGTGTTTGTGGCTTGCTCTGTGACCCGGGCTGTGAGCCGTGCACATGAGGAGTCTGAGCAGGGTGAAGAGGTGAGTGAGACAGATTCTGTGGTTATTCCTGACTGGTTGTTGTCTGTATCCCGCAGTGAGTTGGTGATGGAGCAGAAAGCGGATGTCTCCCTCAGTCCGTTTTTTGAGGCGGTTCTCTCCACCGAGGATGGAAATGGTGTTACCAGGGGTTGTCAGCTGCAAGGGGGATTGCTGGTCAGAAAATGGTGGTCACGTGGGAAAGGCTTCATTGGTGAGGCAGGGTATCAGATTGTGGTTCCTGTCAGATTTCGGGAGGAGGTCCTCAGGAAAGCGCATGGGCAGTCGGGACATCGGGGGGTGCGTAAAACATGTGGGTACATGTTGCGGTATGTCTTCTGGCCGGGTCTGAAGAGAGATGTGTCTCGGCACTTTAAACATGTCAGACAGGTAAGCCGATTCGGCAGCGATCTGGGGTGCAAGTCTTTGGTTTGTTGCCAAGGGCTAGTTTGCAGTTTAAGGAAGGACATTCCGGGTTCTTCCAGGTGCTGGGTCAAGGGACTGACCAGAGTGGTTTTCTGTCCACGGGAAAATATCGGAGAAGAGCTCCTAGCTATTTAGATGGTTAACGGTGTTCTCAGGAGAACTCCTTTCTTATGGGGGGGAGTGTGACGACCCCTCCATTCCAAGTGAGGTGCCGTCTGTTTGTGTGTGTATGGTTGTGTGGGTGTTCGCAGGTACAGGTGCTCATGAGCCGCACCTGTGGGCGGATGCCTACCTAATGAGCTACACCTGGTGAAGCGGGATAAAGGAGGAGCCCAGCCGGTTGCGTCGCTCTCACTCCTCTGGGCATTCTCTCCGTGCCAGCCTCGGGGACCTGTGGCTGGTTTTTGCATTATTATTGTTTTTTGAGAATAAGCAACTGTTATATTCTTACCCCTCGTCTCGTCTCCCTGCTTTTTGTTGCAGCCCAGGAGCCGGGTTGTAACAGACTTCATAAAGCCTGATTTATTTCCTCTACATGCTTTAACTCGTGCTGCACATCGAGTCTAATGGCTCTAAACTACTAGTATACTGTGTATGTAACTACTGTATATGATAAGGGGGAGCTCCTTTTTAGGAGGTCTTTCTGTTCTAATTCAATGAACTAGCCATGACAGGAAGTTCCTGTTGATAATCCTGAATTTGTAAGAGGCTTTCAGGTTCAATCACTCTCATATGGAGCTCTGGTGGAGAAACAAGCAGAAGCTTTGAGACCTCTTTAATGGCTTTGGGTCTGAACATGTTTACGGAGAGGAACCTGACTGTAGGAGGTAAATTATGACCTTGTTTAAAAGTGAGGTATACATGAGCTTTACGCTGGATATAGAGTACGTATTTATTTTCTCTCCTCCTCCACCCATCTATCCACACATCCTTCTGCTCTGTACCAGTAATGCGTAACTATATATACTGTTCTTCATCCTGTGTGTGTTTTTAAAAGAGGGCAGGAGTCACCCTCAGTCATTATAGATGTGCCACTACACACACTCAAAAACTAAAAGAAAATTCTAGAAATACACGAAGCAATGCCCGTCTAACTCTGGACGGGCTTTAAAGGGGACCTATCAGGCAAAATGCACTTTTTGATGTCTTTGTGTCCCCTGTGTGTCGGGGAACTCACGCAGCGTCAGAAAATAAAACCCTCTCTCTTTTCCTCCGTACCCAAGTCTCTAAAAACGGGGGAACAACGGAGCTGATCCAGATTTGCGTCCGATATGACGTAATATCTGAAATGTAGGACACAAACACGAACTGACACTTCCGATACTTAATGGTTGACAAGTAAAGTTTGCACTTTCCATATAGAACGAAAAACCTTGGACACTTCTTTAGTTACTTATCCAGCAGCCTTGTTGCACCAGTAGATTACAATTTGAGTGTAAAGTAAGATTAACTTCCACGTTGTAACCAGCTAATTTCTCTCTAAACTTTTCACTTTGTTAATTAGAACCATCTGTTCCTACGCTACAACTTGACTAAGCCTACTGTTATCAAAACAAATAAGGACACTTTCCTGTGAAAACGTATGAAGTGTGTGAATTTCAAACGTATAGCATTGTCTCAAAATATACACGCCAGCTGATCCTTTACGAGAAGTGACGATCACTACTGTTAGCTAGCTATGTTATCGTTTTCAGAAGCACATTTTTTCAGTTTTATTGTGTTGGACTGTTGGAGGAGCCTGTGAACTGAGATTTTCATCGTCATAACTACACTGTTGCTATGCACGTATGACCAATAAAAGCCTTGAACCTTGAACCATGAAATAAAGCAGACTACTCAATAAAAGGGTGACTTCGTTTGGAGACCAGTATAGTGGTAGGTGAAATGAAATACTATAAACAAAAACACATGTATGAACATCGCACCTTGTCTCGCAACTTCCGTTACATAGCCACGATTGTAATTGTTGAGGTGGACATTGGGTCGATATGGGTGCACCATCAAGGTTATTCATCGTGCTTTTAGCCATACTTAGCATTCGGATGCACTTAAAGGTCCCATGTCATGCTTTTCTGGTTATTACCCGTCCCCTTGTGTGTTATGGAGGTTTTTCTGCATGTAAACGGTGTGCAGAGTCAAAACCCTCAAAGTACACCCTGTAGCGAGTAAAACTCTAACACAGAGAATACCTCCCCAAAACGCCTCGTTGGTGAAACGTCATCATCCATTTCATTCTTCCGGGTACGTGCTTACGAAAGCAAGTACCCGGAACTAAATGGGCCAATCCGTGGAGCCGTTACGTTAAGTCCGTGGATTGGTCCAAATTGACCAATCCGTGGAGCCTTCCTCACACACTCAATCTTTTCTCAGCTGTAGCTCCACCGATTTCCACCACTCAGACCGCAAGGGTATTATAGATGTAGAAAACGTTCATTTATTAAATTCCACAAGGCACATGTGCAAGATGTCAGCATCTCAAACGACCTCCAAGCACAACACACAGACACACTTCTTCTGTTCATCTCCAGCATGAAACAATGATGAACCATCAGGTGATCTGCCCCCTTGTGGTATAAACATGCATGTGCAGGTAGACAACCTCAACCTTATGGGTGATGAGCATACACACAAACTCCCAGCCAGGCTGCGGGTGTGTGTGTGTGTGTTCGGGCTGGGTTTCGCTGTGTCTCGCAGACGGCCACTGGGCTCACAGGAAGGGTGGGGGCAGGAGCTCCAACAAGCCGTTTAGGACAGAGAGTGAATACACATACTATACAGAGATGCTGTATGAGAAACCAATGTGAGTTTTGAAAATTGCACAATATAAATCTATTCTAGTAGACATCAACAATGGAATTATGATCAGTAGAAATGGCCATGACATGGGACCTTTAAAATAGCAACTGTAAGACCAGAAGTACTCTAATTGAGTGACATTTCATCCAGTACAGAAGCATTAGGCGTTTATAATTCTCCTTAAGCACTCTGAAAGGGTGAAATTCAGCCATTACGGGCAATACCAAGCAAATAACGACGAGTTATCTAGAATAAAAGAAGACTTGGATTTGTTCAACTCAAAGCAACAAAACAAGCCTCTAATCAGGAGTCCTCTGTGACCGTCAGGACAAATCTGGTGTAAATCATCTCAGTAATCCTCTTATGTGTCTCCAACATGGCTGCTGTTCATCGTCTGTATTCATCTCATCTGTTTGCTATTCCACTTTCACCAGAAAGACGGCAGCGTGCCACGTTCCTAATGGCTGCCCTGGATGGTGGGCACGCACGGACACAATCAACCCCCGATTTAAAGCCTTCTCCTCAATCACCTGATAGCTTCACTTCTGTTCTGATCCCCTCCAAGCTTTCAGAAATGTCATTTATTCATTTTAAATTGAGGGCTCACATAAACTGAATAACTTTCATAAGCCAACGAAGCCTCTTCCAAAAGATCACTGAAGCTTATTGTGTAATTTCCAGAAAGGCTAGTCAGCAGTCTTCGGAGAGAGGCTCGAAATCCTAAGAAATGACTCAAATTCTTATATCACTTTGCTAATATGGATTCACTCGCTCCTTACTTTCTCCCTCCATCATGTTGGTTTGGTTCAGGGTGAGCAGGGTTGTTTTGGCACTGAGGAAATGTAGCTTGCCACTGAGAAACGTAATTAGTAAATCCCAAAACCCACAGGAGTCAGGTTTCCTACCTTTAACTCAACTTAACTTCTTCATGTTATTTCTGTTTTCTTGCTGTTTGAATCTTCTGTTCTTACTTTTAAGAGATGAAGAAATATTGAACGTTGGCCGGCTTTTACGTCCCATTTCGTACGGATAGTTTAGGTTTCTTTAGCATGTGTTTACGATTGTTCCCTAATCTTAATGAAGTTATATTTATGCCTAAACCAGATCCATGTCTTGTTGAATCTAAACATCAATGGTAATACATTTGCTGAGAATGTATATATGTTGTATTGTTGGAGATTTAATGCAGTATGTGATATTGATGATTGATTTTCTTGGATTTGTTTGTGGTTTCCTCTTTGTTTCTGTAACATAATATAGATGGTATCTCAACAGAGGCTCTCTCAAAATAAAGAGGTTAAAGTAATTAAATAAGTGTTCAAGTTGGTAAATTAATTAATACTAAATTTTGAATGCCATCAAAGTCGAGCATCAACATTTATTTTGATAAGAAAATATGTTATAACAGCAATATTCTGGTAAGATATCCGAAAGAAGTTCAAGAGCTCATCCTATGACATCGTTTGTGTTTGGTAATTTGGTTTTTGATAACAGATCTGAATCGGTTTTCTGTTTTTAAAGATATTTAACAATCTGACTCATAAGTACAAAACTATATCTCATACTCACATCTTACCAAATTCGTTTTTTTAGACAATTTTCATGCCTTTCTGCAACGTTATTTTTTCTTGCTTCAGTAAATTAATTATGTAGTTAAACTAAATATTACAGTCTAGCCAAAGTAGCAGGTCAGTGCAAGTTCACCGGTGGAACCAGAGCCAGGAGGAGATCCCAAAACCACTGGTGTGTGTGTGTGTGTGTGTGTGTGTGTGTGTGTGTGTGTGTGTGTGTGTGTGTGTGTGTGTGTGTGTGTGTGTGTGTGTGTGTGTGTTCCTGTCCCTTTGTGTTGAACATGTATCTGAACATGAATCTGGTTTTCTGTGTTAATCTGTTGCTCTGACTTCTTTTGATTGTAAACTGTGATGCACTCTTACAGGTGGTCTGTCTTTTTTTAATGTGGTATGGCTTTGTAACACCTGCGCTCCTATTGGCTAGCGCTCCAACACATTGTACATGATAGGCTAAGGGGCGGGACATCTCTAAGCAGGTTGACCAATCACAACAGAGCCGGTGCAACACAGGCAGGTTGAGACAAATAAAGAACTTTAAAACATGTAGAAGAGAAAACTGTTTTATTTAAAAGCAGAGACATTAAAAATATTTAAAAAAACTGAATGTATGTACAGTTATAAATATAAAAACATTCACAAAGTCACATCATTATAAAAAACAAACATGAACAATATCCATTAAGTTAATACGATTAATTAAAGTAAAGCGTTTCATAGCAAACAACCTGTCAGTTATTATTTATGAGGTTTATTCAAAATAAGAGAGTTATCAGTAGTTGCAATAATGTTTATAGGAGACACAGTGCATTGTGGGAAATGTAGGATCTAGTGTTTAATATGAGCTCCAGTATTTTACTGCTATCTGATTAACACAACATTTAAATTAAATAAAAAGCTGAAAACTGAAGCTAATCCATCCCACAATATTTATAGTAGTAGCACTTGCAATATTCCCATAATAATACATCAGGTGGTGTCACTCTGGTTTGAAAATGATTCTTAATACATCAGGTAGATTCCTGTTGAAGTGGCAGGTGTTTCTGGAGGATAAGAGATAGTACCCAGGTGCATTGTGGGAGATGTAGGATCGTACTGCTCTCTGATAAACACAACAACATTTACATTTGAAGATCTGAAAACTGAAGGCACTTCATAAAAATCGCTAATTCTATTGAAAGTAGTGGCGCTTTGGTTTCAATGATAATAATGATACTAATTATACACGGCACTCATCTAGCGCTTTTCTACAAACTCAAGTAGGTTCCTGTTGAGGTGTTTCTGAAGAGATAGTACCCAGTTGCATTTTGGGATATGTAGGATCTAGTGTTTAATATAAGCTCCAATATTTTACTGCTATCTGATTAACACTATGTATAACATTATATTTATAGTGGTGTTTTAAAGATTCTTTATGAAACGTTCTCATAATAATACATCAGGCAGATTCCCGTTGAAGTGGCAGGTGTTCCTGGAGGATAAGAGATAGTACCCAGGTGCATTGTGGGAGATGTAGTGCTCAGGCCTCCTCGATGGGGGGGCTGTTGTAGCAGCCGGAGGGCACGGACGCCAGGATGTCCTCCAGGTTGGTGATGTCCTTCAGGATGGAGCCGATGTCCCAGTTGAGGCCAGAGAGTCTCCGGCGGTACGCCTCCTCTCCGGCCTCCATGTCCCTCAGACGGGGCCCCAGGCGGCCCTGCACCTCCTGTTGAGCCTCGTCCAGAGCCACCTCCAGAGCCCGAAGCTGGGTCTCGTCCACAGGAGTGGACTGGTCTGTAAGGGAGGAATCAACAAACATCTGTTCAACATCTGCACTGAGTCTACCTGCAAGCAGTGCGATCCCAGAGAACAACAAGTCGTAAAACTTTGAGGAAAAAGTTGAACATCTTTGTGAGAAAGTCGTTATAATTAGAGATACAAATGTTGAGACCCCAAAGTCTCATGATAGGAATGTAGAGTGGGGTCTCCGGAACATACAAACTGCTGGATGAGTTGTGTTGTTTAGCACATGTGATCATAAGCAGACGATAGCTGAAGTGGCGTGTAAAGTGCTGAGCCTGAACGTACCCATCTTGGCCAGCAGGGCGTTGATGTCTCTCAGGGTTTTCCCCACGCCGTCTCTGGTGTTCTTGGAGTTGATCAGAGCTGCAGCCGCCCCGCCAGCTGCCTGCAGAGAAACATTTAGATCCACCGTTATCCAACAGCTCAGGGCAAAGGGAACACATTACAACCTTCTTTTACTGCACATATTCTATTCCATTTGACTTCAATGGAAATACTGCTTTATCTTACGATATCTTTTTCTATTCCATTTTCTTCTCGGGTTCTTAAAATACTTTTCTATCTGTGTTTTGTTTTTTCGTTTCACTTTAACGTCTGCACCACGACACCAAGTCAAACTCCTCGTAGGTCTCAACCCACCTGGTGATGGACCTGAATCTGATTCGCTCCCTTCATAGCTCCAGTTTAAGCTTGAGTGCTGGTGCGTCAGGATTACTACACAGATGTGGAAATGAATGTCAAATAATTGTTGTTTTGATCATAAAGTAAAATATCATATTGTTCATTTCCAGATACCGGAGAGTAAATGTTTTGTAGACACACTGATCTGTTGTTCTGCACATGTTTAAATGACAAAGTGAGGCAGAGAGTGTTGGACTGACACTCATTGTTGTTCATAATGTTGCACTAAAACAAAGGCAAGGAGTTGTTGTTGTTTGTAGTTTAGTTTGCTTTGATTCTATTATTCCAGCCCACTTGAGATCACATTACTAAAAATGTTTTACAATACCAAAAACATTAGGGACAACACAAAAAACCACAATACAACCCACAAAACAATAACAACAAACACTGACAAAGACAAACAGCAACAACCCCTCACTCTGATGGTGTCATGTTACGCCTGCAGTGTAACACTTCCTTCACGGTGCACGTGTGGAAACGCTCCGATGGCAGGACTCACAGCAGTTTTTGAAACCATAACAAAAGATTAGGCGGATCTCCATCCAACCATTTCTGGAGGATTGTGAGTCGAGCTGCACACGGAGCAAGAACAATAATGTTCCTTTGTCTACGCTCGGGATTTAAATCTGATCCGAGGACAAAGTTAAATCTATACCAAACGCTTCAGTGACCTCACTTTGCACCGAGTCCCACGAGATGACTGTGAGTGCCATAACTCATTTGACATGTTACGCAGAATGAAGAGCACGTTGATCGTATTGACTTTGAGTAGCAGGGGTCGCGTGCAGTCTGTGAAGACCCTTTTGGGTCTCATGGGATTTGTTGGAACATGTTATCTAATGTTGAATGTGAGTGTGTCTCCGTGTACCTGCTCGGCCTCGCCCTCCAGCCTCCGGCCGTCCTCCAGCTCTGAGGTCAGATTATCTGTTGCATCGAGGGTTCGCTGCTTCAGATCCTTGGAGCCTTTGTTCAGTTTGGTGGCTTCGTTCAGCAGATCGGTGTGAGACGGCAGGGACCCAAACGTGTTCTGGAGGATACAGACAGTCGGTCGACACCGAGTTAAAATAGTGCCAGTAAATAGAATGGAATAGAAGTAGTTCCGTGAGAGTCCATGTGCAAGTGATAGAAACCGTCTCACCTCCAGCCCGGTGACCAGGTTCCCCAGCAGGTTGGCGGTCTTCACGGAGCTGTCGTAATCTGCAGACACGTCTCCCAGGATGCCGCCGGTCTCTGCGTTGTCGCTGACCGCCTGCTGGATGATGGCGCTGATGCCAGGAAGACGTTTGATGGCGTCATCGGCCAGAGACTTGCTGTCTCCGATCTGCTGGTCGAAGCCTGAGGAGGAAGAGGAGCGGGAGTCAGGTCACCTATTCTGCAAAATCCTCTTCTCCATGTCTCTTCTA